ACACACACACACACACACACACACACACACACACACACACACACACACACACACACAAATTAAAGACGTCACAGTGAAGTTTCATCTCTCTGCCCTAAAAACATCCAAGAAACAAATGTCTGCTGTGCGTGAACACACACACACACACACACACACACACACACAAGTTAATGAGAAGCCTGAAGGCGCAGGAGCGGAGCTGGAGCTATTTTTTTCGAGCATTCAAGCCAAGTTGCGCGCTCTGAGCGGAGGTGGACCGCTGCTGTTTGTTCCGCTCAGTGTGAGGGTCTCGGTCCATGTGAGAGCAGCTCCGACCAGCAGAGGTTACAGCGGGACCCCCTCCTCCCTACCAGCCCGAACAGAGAGAAAGAGAGAGAGAGAGAGAAAGAGCATGGCTCTTCTGCAACACAAAGGGCGAAACTCGCAGGCGGAAAGTTTAAAGGAATAAAGAAACCGCAGAATTTCYCACTTCCCCGAACCCGAACCGCGAAGCGATGCACTTCATCAGGCTGGATTTACGGCTGATTTTGTGGTGTTTTAAGTTGGTGTCGCTGGCGCACGCTTACACCGTTCACATCGGCGAGGATGCGGGAGCACGGAGGACAGTGGTGGCCGGAGAGGAGCGCGGCGCACGGTGCGCTTTGGATCAGGTGCTCGCTCCGAAATCCACGGAGCGCTTCCTGGAGACGGACGCGGCGGCGGGCGTCGTGTTTGTTTCGGACTCGATAAAGTGCGCCCTGCTGCCGTCCAACCCGTTCACACTGTTCACTGTGGCGGACTGCACGGACTCTGGACGCAGGCACCTCCTCACGAGTCAGTACGACGTGCATGTTCACGGCAGGAACTGTTCACACGCGCGTAAAAGGAAAGCTCTGTGGGACATGGAGGTCCTCAGTTTGTTCAGGCACCACAGCTCGTCAGAGTGCCACCAGGCGGGCTCTGCTTTATTTCCAGTGGGGAATCTGTTACCTGGCTCTCTGCTGCGGTGCAAAGTGGCCAACAGCCACGAGTTTTACTTCTCAGAGGGGAGCTTGTTTGTGTCTGAGACACTGTGCTGGAGGCAGGACGCACTCTTTGAACTGAATATATTCTGTGATGTGCTGATAGGAAACAAGCTAAATGTTAAAACCATCTCCATCCACTGGCGGGTGGGACAGGGTCCCTTCAGGCAGGGCCACTTACAGAAACTCTTAAAGAAGGCAGCTCAGTTTGATTCAGGTATTGTGAGCAGGAGAAGGCGCAGCATTAACAGCAGCCCCCAGTTTCAGCCCCCAATGTATCAAGTGTCCGTGTCAGAGAATAAGCCAGTTGGGACCTTGGTTGTTGTCCTCAAAGCTGTGGACATGGATGAGGGGGAAGCAGGCAGGCTGGAGTATTTCATAGAGGCTCTCTTTGACAGCCGCTCTAACAATCTTTTTGCTGTGGATCCTGTCAGCGGTGTTGTGTCGACAGTAGAAGTGCTGGACCGAGAAACTAAAGACACCCACGTCTTCCGTGTGACAGCAGTTGACCACGGCACGCCCCGGCGTACAGCCATGGCCACCCTCACCGTCACAGTCGGCGACACCAATGACCATGATCCAGTGTTTGAGCAGCAAGATTACAAGGAAAGCATCAGGGAGAATTTAGAAATTGGCTACGAGGTGTTGACTGTGAGAGCCACTGATGGGGACGCACCTGTTAATGGTAACATCCTGTACCACATCCTTAACAGTAACGGGTCCAATGATGTTTTTGAGATAGATTCTAGGTCTGGTGTCATCCGCACTAAAGGCCTGGTGGACAGAGAGGAGGTGGAGGCCTATGTGCTGTTAGTTGAGGCAAACGACCAGGGTCGGGACCCTGAGCCCCGCAGCGCCACAGCCACTGTTCACATTGTGGTAGAGGATGACAACGATAATGCTCCTCAGTTCAGTGAGAAACGCTATGTGGTCCAGGTTCCCGAGGACATGACCCCAAACACTGAGATCCTGCAAGTCACTGCCACAGATCAGGACAGAGGAAGCAACGCTGTGGTCCACTTCAGCATCATGAGCGGAAACACCCGAGGGCAGTTTTACATTGATGCTCAAACGGGTAAATTGGACCTGGTGAGCCACTTGGATTACGAGGCCAACAAAGAATACACCCTAAGGATCAGAGCTCAGGATGGAGGGCGGCCTCCGCTGTCCAACATCAGCAGCCTGGTGACGGTGCAGGTGCTGGACGTCAATGACAACGCTCCTATTTTTGTCAGCACTCCATTTCAGGCCACTGTGCTAGAAAACGTGCCTCTGGGTTACTCCATTATCCACATCCAAGCTGTAGATGCCGACTCAGGAGAAAACTCCAGGCTGGAATACTGCCTCACTGAAACCATGCCAAACTTCCCCTTCGCCATCAACAACAGCACCGGGTGGATTGTAGTGGCAGATGAGCTGGACAGAGAGAGTGTAGATTTTTACAACTTTGGCGTGGAGGCCCGCGATCATGGCTACCCTGTGATGTCCTCCTCAGCCAGCATCAGCATGACAGTTCTAGACGTCAATGACAACAACCCAGAGTTCACTCTGAAAGCYTATCAAATGCGTCTGAACGAGGACGCAGCCGTGGGGACCAGTGTGGTGACAGTGTCTGCTGTGGATCAGGACATCAACAGCGTGGTGACGTATCAGATATCCAGCGGGAACACTCGGAACAGGTTCTCCATCACTAGTCAGAGCGGAGGCGGGCTCATCACACTTGCACTCCCTTTAGATTACAAACTAGAACGCCAGTATATTCTCACAGTCACCGCAAGCGATGGTACTCGCTTTGACACCGCTAAGGTGTTTGTTAACGTCACAGACGCCAACACACACCGACCTGTATTTCAGAGCTCACATTACACAGTCAACATCAATGAGGACAGACCMGCCGGCACCACTGTGGTTGTAATAAGTGCCACTGATGAGGATACAGGTGAGAACGCACGCATCACCTACTATATGGATGATAGTGTCCCTCAGTTTGACATAGACCCAGACACAGGAGCTGTCACCACACAGATAGAGCTGGACTATGAGGACCAGGTTTCTTACACACTGGCCATCACAGCGCGGGATAACGGCATCCCACAGAAATCCGACACAACCTACCTGGAGATCCTGGTGAACGACGTCAACGACAACTCCCCCCGTTTCCTCAGAGACCACTACGTGGGCTCTGTGATGGAAGATGTGCCAGTGTTCACCAGCGTGGTGCAGGTTTCAGCCATAGACAGAGACTCTGGGCTCAACGGCAGGGTTTTCTACACTTTCCAGGGCGGGGAGGATGGAGATGGTGACTTCATAATAGAATCCACCTCTGGCATTGTGCGCACGCTGCGCAGATTAGACAGAGAGAATGTGCCTGTTTACAGCCTGCAGGCTTTCGCTGTAGATAAAGGTGTTCCTGCTCTGAAAACATCAGTAAACATCCATGTAACAATCATGGATGTGAACGACAACCCTCCCGTGTTTGAAAAAGATGAGTTTGACATCATGGTGGAGGAAAACAGTCCCATAGGTGTTGTGGTCGCCCACATATCAGCTACAGACCCAGATGAAGGCAGTAATGCTCAGATCATGTATCAAATAGTGGAGGGAAACATTCCAGAGGTGTTCCAGTTGGATATTTTCTCTGGAGAACTGACAGCATTAATAGATCTGGATTATGAGCTAAAGTCAGAGTACGTCATCGTGGTCCAGGCCACCTCCGCCCCTCTGGTCAGCCGAGCCACTGTCCACATCAAACTCATTGACAAGAACGACAACGTGCCGGTGCTTAAAAACTTCCAGATCATCTTCAACAACTACGTGACAGACAAATCCAGCAGCTTCCCCACCGGTGTGATCGGACGCATCCCCGCCTTCGACCCGGATGTTTCCGATCAGCTGCATTACAGCTTCGAGGTGGGAAACGAGCTGAACCTCGTTCTCCTGAACCAGAGCACGGGGGAGATCCAGCTGAGCCAGGCCCTGGATAACAACCGACCCCTGGAGGCCTCCATGAGGATCTCAGTGTCAGGTGAGACTGTTYGATAATTGCCGACTCCACCCAGTGACTGAAGCACATTGTAGTAATAAGAAACTAGGCTTGGTGAGGTGTATCCATTTCCATTAGTATGCTCCAGCTCCTCACTTACATTTTCACCTCACTTCACAGAATAATGACTGTCTTAGTTTTATTATTCCAAAGTAATTCATAATAGAGGAATTCATTATTCATGCAGACAAATTGTAAAACTCATTAATATACAAGATGCATGTTAAAATATTACATTAAACTCTTGTTATTCTTTGCAATTATGTAATTTACTGTTCATCAGTGATTGTTTTTACAGGAGTCTGATTTAGTGCTGCCTGTTGTCTCAGTTTAAATAGCTGTTTGTCTGAGCTTCTCTGCTTCCTGTGGGAGCCACACTCCAGTGGGCAGACCGATCACAGCTCATAATTGCTTATCATGCCCTCACTCCCACGTACAGCGACAGTCCTAATTCAATTATGATCAACTTTTATTGCTTATTCAGAGTCAGAYCAAGAGTTTATATTTGTTAAAACATCGTTTGTTTGACAGGCGTCTTGTTTTTTTCTGGAATTGAACATAATTTGACCTACAATGGTGGCTTTGTTGGTGCTTTTAATGAACTGTTCCTACCCTGTTTGATTTTACTCTTTATATTTTTGTTCTGACAAAAAATGTAAAGTTGTTTTGGCTCATAAATTAGTACTGAACTTAAATTGCATCCATGTAGAGACTGTGCGTGGGGGATGTTGTGTTTTGATCTTACTTGGCACTGCGGGATCTGCTGTAAATCTGTCTTCTCTTTGACCTTGGCACAATCTGAGAGAGAGAAAACAAAGATAACTGAGGAAAATGCATTTCCTGTGAAAATGCTACTGTGAATGCCTGTTGCTGATAACATTTGCTGAAAGCTGCTGAAGAAGCTGAAATTGAGCTGAACAAGTTTAATAGCAAAAGTATTATTGTAAGTTAAACTTGAAAAGCTGGAAGAAGCAAAATAAAAGCAGAAAATCAGTAAAAAGGAGGAAAAATATAGCTCAATTGGCATAAAAAGCTAAAAGCTAAATTAGCTGAACATTGCAGAAAGCAACTGTAAGAAGCAGAAATAACTCAAAATAGCAGAAAGAAGTACAAAAAAGTAAAACTTAGCAGAAGAATGACAGAAAAGGGCAGACATATAGCTGACACACTAGATATAAGCTAAAATTTGCCATAAAGTAGCTGAAATTGTCACAAGGAATTTAATAAGAACAAAACCAGAATATGTTGTGTGAGGTTCTGTAAAGATTTAGAAACATTATGAAGAAATTTAAGGATGTTGAAAAAAGCTCCATTCATTTTCAATGGGAAAAAAGTAGCAAAAATAGCTTTGGCTACAATTGTGGATTTTTTTTTTCCTGAGGCTTCAATGTGTTATAGAGCTTGCTCTCAGCTACCAGTACATCAGTTTTCATGTCAAAATATCAAACATTGGCTGAGTAAAAGGTTTTTAAAATGAGCTTTGGTGGCCATCTTGGGTTTTTTTTTTGACTGCTATTTATGATCGAGCTATAAGTCCCAGGTACTACTATATAAAATTTTAGCCCAATATATCAAAAATTGGCCAAATTCAAGTCATTTCAACTAACTAACTTAAGCTAATAACAGCTGAACATTAGCTAAAATTCCACCAAACAGCTGAATATTGCAGAAAGCAACTGTAGGAAGCATAAGCAGCTCAAATTAGCAGAAAGAATTACAAAAAATAGCAATTAGCAGAGAAAAAGAAGAAAGAACCAAAATTTTAGCTAATATAGCAGCAAAAAGCTAAAATTTGCATAAGAATAAGCTAAAGGTAGAAGCCTCAATTTGAAATTAGCATCCAGCTGGTGAAATGGTTGTTAAAAAAACCTCAAAACTAGCAGAAAAAACCCAATAAAACTACTAAAAAGTGATCATTTGTWGTAAAATATTTAAAACAGCCAAAGTTTTCAGTAAAATAGCTAAAAAGTAGGTGGAAACATTTTAATTAGCATAAGGATGCATAAGAAGCACAAGTTTGCTGAATTTACCAGAATTAAGTTGTAATAGCTACAAAAATATTGTATTTAGCTTTAAAAAGCTAACTTTAGCTAATACCAGCTAAATATTAGCTAAACGTGCAGCAAATAGCTGAATATAGAAGAAAGCTTCTGTAAGAAGCATAAATAGCACAAAGTAAAAGAAATAATTACAAAAAAATAGTAATTAGCAGAGAAAAATCAGAAATAAGCAGAGTTTTAGCTATTGTGGCAGCAAAAAGCTAAAATTATACAAGCCTCAAATTGAAAGTAGCATTCAGATGGTGAATTGGTTGTAAAAAATTCGAAATTAGCAGAAGAAAAACCATAAAACTACTAAAAAGTGATCATTTGTAGTATTATYGCTAAAACAGCCAAAGTTTTCAGTAAAATAGCTAAAACATAGCTGGAAACATTTTAATTAGCATAAAGATAAATAAGAAGCACAAGTTTGCTGAATTTACCAGAATTAAGTTGTAGCTAATAGCTACAAAAACATTGTATTTAGCTTAAAAAGCTAATTTTTGCTAATACCAACTAAACATTAGCTAAAAGTGCAGAAAATAGCTGAATACAACAGAAACCACCTGTAAGAAGCTCAAAGAGCCCAAAGTAGCAGAAAAAAACACAAAAAGTAGAAAAAGCTGAAGAATAACATAAAGAAGCAGAACTTTAGCTGAAATAGCAGAAAAAGCTAAAATTAGTAAAAAAAAAAAAAGGGGGGGGGGMAGCTAAAATTTGCACAGGGGAGTAAAAGAAGAGCATAACCAGAACAAATTGTYTAAGGTTTTGTAAAGATTAAGAAACATTTTGAAGTATTTTAATGATGTTGCAAATAACCCCATTCATTTTCAATGGGAAAATGTGGCAGAAAAGTGAAATAGCTAAAAAAAAAAGTATAAATAAAATACCAAAAGTCGTAGCACCCCTGACATGAATGAGCTGAACGTTTTGATATATGAATTGTTGAAGTAGCACAAAAATGTGGAACAAGAAAGGTGCCAAAAAACGTACGGAAGAAAAAATGATCTCAATAGTGTGAATGCTGCACTGGATTCATGCACACTGATTAAGAGAATGGACATGCAGAGCAAATATGAAACCAGACCAAACCGAGTCGGGGTAAAACTAGCAGGGACCTAAAGGATCTGTGTGATGGCTGAATGTTCAGCGCTACGTTTCTGACAACATTAAAGGGCTTTCTTGTTTGATGATGATGTGACTCTGGGGAGCAGCTACTGTGTGGTTAGCGTGGGCAGTCGTTTTGATAAATTGGAGCTCAGCTTAGTCCCTCTGGAGAACAATGGTGAGCCGTCGATTGAGGGGCCGAAGCTGGAGTTCCAACCAGGCTGTGGTTTGGGGCAACAGCTGTGACTCCACTGAGGACCAATTAGAGGCCGAGTCTCCCCACCGCGTCCAGCACCTGCTGGGGTTTATGTGTCAGCAGCCCTGTTGGAGACAGCAGGACACAGAGGGAGACAGGAGGACAGGGGGAGGGAGGACAGGCCGTATGGTGGTACAGTAAGAGATGTTAGGCCCAGTTTACAGGATGCTGTTGTGTTTCGGCTGTTAGTTTACACAGCAGGAATCTGATTGTTTGACACCAAAACCTTTCAAATCCAGGTCCCGGAGTGGAAGTTTTTAAAACTCCCAGCATTGTTTCATGGCAAAACACAATTTGRCTGAAGCTTTACCATTTTAACAATCAGCATCAGAAAATCTACATTTCCAGGAGTTTTCTTGTAAGTGGGCCGGGCTTCAATAACCAGGAGCTGACTGAGGGGGTGAAGGAGCAGGAAGGTGGGCTCCGTCTATACATGCTGCTGACCCCAATTTCTATGGGCCTGTTTCTCCAGGGACCTCCCAAGTCTTCCTTTTCTCTTTCCTTTTCTGCTGCTGTTTAAGAGGCCCCCCTCTCATCATAGTTGAATTTAGCTGTTTGTTGTTGAGCTGTGATTGAAGGGGCTGCGGTGGCTCGGTGGTAAGTGCCGTGGTCTCACAATCCTAAAGCTGCAGCTTCAAACTCAGGTTGCTCGAAGGGTGTCAGGTGTTAAACTATTGCCAAATCTTTCATGTGAGTTCACTCTCTGTGTCAGCTCGCTCAGACAGGAGCAGCTGAAAAGAAGTTGTTGAGCTGTAATTAATGTCTTTTATCAACACAGGTCAACATCAAGCTGGAACTGTTTGATGGGTAAATTATGGTAACTTTGCTGTCATTCTTGAGTTGAATTTAGTCATTTTAAATATAGAACTGGATCTTAGTTATTCCTGTGAAGTAAGAGCTGTAAAAACCATCCCTCTATGTTTTCCTTTTCAAGGAYAGACTTTTTTAATATAATCCTATAAAGCAGTTTAAGTTTCTTAAGAAAAGTGGAAGACAAACCTAAAAATATCAGGCCTAAAAAAACTCATCTACAATTTAGCAAAAAAATAAAAAATAAAAAAAMATTAAGTAAAGACTTGAGAACCTGAGAGATGTGTCAGCCTTCAGTTGAACATCTATGGTAAGCTTTAAGCTTGCTCTTTGGACTTCGACAGTTTAAAAATACTTTTTATGCTCATCTGTGTTATTTATGTAATTATTTGTAATGGATTCAACTAAGGAAATGGAAACATGCTTTTTAACAGTAAAAATGCCTTAAATTGTAGTGTGTCAACAATAACTTGTGCTCATCACTTCAATTTAGTAGTAGCCTGGCCCTTGCCTTCCTACGCAGTTCCACTCAATTCTAGTTTCTCTTCACTGCTCCGTCTGGGATTTCTCCCATTGACAAGGATTTCTTCAGGAGAATTTTACCTGGACCAATCAGCAAACAGAAGGAGGAGTTTTGAACAACAACGTCAATTTTCTGRGCAGTGTCTGCTCGCGGTTTAGCAATTGCAGTGGAGGAAGTGAATGAAGCCAATCCGTGTTGATAAGGCTTCCAAATTAAACTAGAGAAAATGCATTTCCTGCAAAAATGC